GTTGGGGGTTCTGAGGGGGCGGGAAGTGGGAGGGAGTGGAAGGGGCAGGGACGGGGCTAGGGCAGGACGGGGGCGGGGCTAGGGTGGGGCTCCTCCCGTCCTCTTTTTTGATTGTTGAAATATGGTAACCCTACACAGAAAGCTCCTTTTCTGTCTAAGATGAGGGTGGAGTTTCCAATCTATCAGACCCCTTACTAGTCAAAGGTTGATATGAAAGATAAATGTCCAATCAGTGTCCAAAGACAACACCTTGGTAGAAATCACAACACCTATCCTTTTCAAGCTGCTCTAGAAAGGCTTCTAACAACACACCTCCCTGATGGACCTTCCCTCCCTTCCTCCCCCCCACCCCCCTCCCGCTTACTGCTTCTCTTTGCCTCCTATCTTTTCATTTCCTCCTCACCCTACTCTAGTTTTCATATCTACCTGTGGGGAAGAAGGTTTATTGGTCTGACTAGTGCCTTGTCTATCTCACACTCTGCTGAAGTACTTAATAAAATAGTCTTCCTTTTTTAAATTTTTTTATTGATGATCTTGCCCAGCTAGTGTATGACAACCTGTTGAATTCAATGCAGTGTTGCCTCTTGCAAATGGGTTGTGATGTTCTTATTTGTTGCGCCAGCAAAGATTTGATTTGGGCGCTTGGGCTGGGTCAAAGTAACATGAGAGGGAGGAAGAGTCGGCACTTGCTTACAGGGTAGCAAGCAACCAGTCCATCAGCCCACAACGAGGCATATTTCCCACAGCAGCAGCCATCTGTTGTTTTTCAAAGTACCTCATTACCTCTTGGAGAATATCCCCAACGCTGTAGCCCTTCTTGGCTGCTTTTTCAGCCAACAGAGGAAGCTTCTTCAAATCCCCTTCATTTTCGTTCATGAATGACAGGTTGGGCACGTTGAAGTGGGAAGCAGCCATCCACTGGAGGATAGCCTGGAGTTCTTTGTTCAGTGAGCTGCTGTTGGCATTCTGGTTGTTCACTATCACTTCAGAACCAGATAATGAACCTGATAACTGTTTTCCATTACCCTTGGATTGTGAAGTTCTCCTGGGTACTGCTGGCGTTTTTGAGGATGAAGCACCGAACGCATTTTGTTCATCCAACAGGTCACCTATAGCTAAATCTGGGCTGTTGTTTTTGGCCATGAATAGACATAATTTCATCACAGATTCCACCAGTTGATCAATAAATTGCTTGTTCACCTGATCCATATTGTCAAACTGATCCATGGATGAATTGGGCTGTTTAGATAAGGACTTTTTGCTGGACTTGCTATCAGTGGTGGCAGCATCTCTATAATTCCTGTTTGTTTCACTGGAATTGTCATCTATATTGAAACCAGCCTCACGTAAGACCTTCTGGATGATTGATAACAGGATACTTGATATGTCCCCCTTTTGGGAGTCAAGTTGTTGGTGGTCATTCTTTGCCCCTGTGTGCCTTGATCCAGCAGCCATTGAAAGGGACTTGGAACTATGGCTGCTCCCAGCCTTTTCAAAATGAGAATCACGAGAAACATATCCAAACGAAGTGGCGCCCGATTCACGTGCTGAGTCTTTGCCATTTGTCTGTTGTAATAGATGTTGTTGTATCAACATTAATGCAGTCACAATGAGGTCTTTTGCATACTTATCCATTGAGCAATGCTTTTCCGAAGCTTTGCTTGATGATGATTGACACTTGCCTGCTCCTCGGTCTTTGTCCTTCCCTTGATTATGCATTTCACTTTTCATTGCTGTAAATTGCATGCCTTGAGATTTGCTGTCTTGGGAGCCTGTTTTAAGTGATGTGTATGCTAGGCTTTGAGACCTAGACTGCTTATCATCCCCTGCTAGGGCTTTAAACAGGCGTTTCACCATTGCTTCCAAAATTTCAGTAGACTTTTGGCTTCCTATGTTGAATAGATTCTTTTTCACCGTGGAAACAAAATCAGAGTCTGTCATGAGCACCCCTGTGACATTATGCAGATTTTTCATGGTTGAGTCTATCAAGTCTGATATGACGTCTTTGGTATGTTTGAGGATTACTTTCTTCAAAACTACACAAGCTGGGGTTGTCTTACCATCCTTTCTTTGGACTTTCATGGTCTTCATGAATGAGAACATCATGTCTGAAGCAACCTGATTTGCATAAACCATTAACCCTTTGCTTACAGAAGTACCAGAATCATCCTGCCCAGACTGTTTTGCTTGCTGACACATTTGTTTATCTCCAGGCTTTCCTCCCTGTTTACAACCATTTTGATTAGACATCTCACCATAGAAGAGTGATGTTCTCTTTGAACCTGAAGTATCTTCCTTCTTGGTAGTCTTTTCTTGAGATGGTCTTGGGGATGGTAGTTTACCCTGGGGGTCCTGTGTGCTTGCTTCAACGGCTTCATTCACCATTTGTGAGGCAATTTTGCTCACAGAACCATGGGAATTATTTTTCCCTTCACCAGCTGAACCATGAATCCCCTGACGTATAAACTTACTGGCAGTGCCTTCCAATTTATCTGTGATCTCTTTACGTGCCATTTGAACAACCAAAGAACAGAGCTTATTTACATAGTATGAAACATCATCTGGATCTCTCTTTCCCTTTTGGGCACCGGCAGACTTTAAAGATGTGTCACTGTTCTGGGACAACGATGGATCATGGAAGGTTTCGCTAACTTTGTGTTTCTGAGGGGCATCTGAAGGGGTCAGTGCATGCTGGAATCCAACTGCATATTTCTGAAGGTCATCGTTGAGCCAGCTCACAACGCTGAGTTCATCAGTTGAACCTTGTTTGAAAAGACATACTGCTCCTTCAGTTTTAGAATGATCATGCTTTTCATTGTCCTTTATTACAATGACTTCTTTTTCCTCCAGATTTCCCAGATCAAGTTCATTTGAAGGTTCAGAGATGCTGCTGGACTGGCTAGCAGCTTTCTTTGCTTTTGAATCTTTGTCTTTTACATTCAGGCTGGAGACGTCTACAAAACAGATCACTTTCCGGTCCTGGTCCTTCTGTTCATCAGGGTTGTAGAGGTCTACTTTACACACACCTGCCTGACTGTGTAACCAGTCAACTTCCTGAGACATCTTTGCAGGTTGAGAATAGGACCGTACCCAGGACCGTAGAGTGTTCTTTTATCAGTTGGGCTGCTGTGATGACCCTGCCAGACTCGAGATGTTGCCTCCTCTCTCAGCTTTCCATGCTCTTCTACTGCCAGATGGGCTCTTCACCTGTGTTGACTCATGGTTTCTATAGCAGCAGTGACATCACAAAGAACCAGTTTCACCAACAACCAGTGATGTGTTGGCAATGCTTTAGCAGTGGGCTGCTATACATTTTTTTCCCTTTAGCCTGTGTTAAATCTGTGTCCTTTGGGTTGGAGGGTGTTTTTTGTTAGGTGGGCTGAGAGAATGGAGACTCTGTCTTTGTTTTCCATATAAACAAAAACATTTTTTCATAAACATAAACAAGGAGTCAGCATCACTTAACAAAGAAACTAGCATTAAACTGTGTTTTTTGAATATACAGTGAATATATTGATAGTATAAGACAGAGGGTTACCTTTTTATTAGAAGAGAGAGTTGGGAATGAAGATGGCGGTAGTCTCATGATGTTCTCCCTGAAGTGGTGACATCACAAAGATCAGCGCTCACCAATAATAGTTGAACAAAAAACCTCTAGACTTGAAAAGTGTCTTATTTCTCTTTTCATTCCCTGCTTTTTCTCTTCCCCACTTTTCCTTTTGTCTTCTTCCTTCCTTTTTCTCTTTATGACTAGCCTGTGTATCTTTCTTTTTCACTCTACTCTGAAATAAAATAAAATCTGTAAATCTAAGCACAGGCAGTGTGACTAAGATTATAAAACCAAACTAGCTCCTAACCCCCGTATTATAAGATAGTTGAAAAATCATAAAATCGTAGAAATTATATATAGAAAAGACTTTTTGTCATCTGATCTATCTCTCTGCCAGTGCAGGATTGTTCCCTATAAAATATTTACCATAGGTATGTGAGATTAATGTTAAATCTCCCAGATGACATTTCTGTTTGTAGATTATTTCATACCTTGTAGCTCTGGTAAGGGTGGATGGTCTTGTAGTTAAATCACTGCACTGGTACTCAGGAGATCCAGGTTCAGTTCTCATCTTTACCACAGATCTCCTCTTAAATAATGGGCAAGTCACTTAACCAGTCTGATTCTTAATTCCAAGTTCCCCATCTGTAAATTGGGGATGATAATTCTTCCTTTCTTTCACCTTTTGCCTGGCTTGTCTAGTTGGATAGTAAGCTCCAACTTGGGGCTGTGTCTTACTATGTATATGTACCATGCCTAGCACAATGGGACTCCAATTTAGGTTGGGTCCTCTAGGTATGATTATACTACAAATAATAATTACATACATCCATATCTGTGACTGTCTGCAGTTGAGTATTTTGTATAATATTCATCACTGCAGCAATTTTCCTTCCATTATGTGATTTTTTTTTTCCAGCTCAGTTTGCCTTGTATAAAACATTTGTGCAGAAATATTGCCCAATATTTCACAACTACTTTCAGTGTATAGTACCAGATACCAACTAAATGTGTAGATTATAGTTCATTTGTCAGATAACAGGTGTAGATGATGCAGAAAAAGTGTTCACCGTGGGGTACAGGTAGTAGAGTAGTTTAGACCCAGGAGATAAAAAAATAAAAGCTTCCATAAGAATTAAAAGCTGACAAAATTCTGGAACCACTAACATAAATGAATACTCTCTGAAATTAAGTAATTTAAAGTATCATTTATATTTTGAAGTAGTATTTTTTTTTCCCTTTTCTTTGATACCTTAGTTCACTGGGTATGTGGAAAATGCCTCTCGTTGCCTGGTAACCATGCATATATCCATTTCAGGTTAATGTCAAACTGATACAATTTGGTTGCCTGAAGCTAGGCATAGGTATCCAGGTAAAAGTGATCTAATTGTTTGGGATACTGTGTTTAGTTCTCATAATGAATCTCAAAACAAATATCACAGTAGCAGAAAGGGTTCAGAGATGGGCAACCAAATTGACTGCAGGCATGGAAATGCTTTTGGAAGGATGAGAGATTGAAAAGTTTGGGATTGTTTAGAGGAGAATAGTAGAGAACATGGAGATGTATAAAATAGTGAACTGTTTAGCAAAGATAAACTGGTCATCTGTTTATTCTTTCACATAATATGTGAACAAGGAGACATTAGATGGAATTAAAAACAACACATTTGAAATAGGTGTATGAAAATACTTCAAAATTGCTATGAGATATCATTGAGGCTAAGGGCTTTATAGGATTCACAAAAGGATTGGATATTACAGGTAGGGATTTAATGTTGCCTATGATTAAGGTTGCATAAAACTTCCCATTTTAAGACCCTAGTTTCAGTTGCTTATAACTTTTGTGAAACTTTAACCATTTGAGCTGAAATTTTCCATGGTGTGTGTGTGTGTGTCGGTCGCTCTCTTGTTGAAATTTCAGTCCAAACAGTAAAAAAAATTATTGAGAAATATTTTATTTGAGACGCTCTAGAGTACACATGCTTTGGAGCAGAGACTTGAATGGAGGTAATCTTTATATCAGGGATGTACCTTTTGCTGTCCCTGTGAAAATCCACTCAAATTTGAGTGGCAAACCCCGACCTCTAGTGTGCCAACAGCAAAAGGCGTAGAGTGGAAGTACTTTGCCCCTTCCAAGGGATACGACTTCCTCTTTTGTCACCCGGCCCCCTGTTCGCTGGTCGTCTCAGCAGTCAATGAACGGGAATGACATGATCAGCAAGCCCCTGCTCCTAAGGCCAAGGAGGCTAAACGTCTAGACCTATTCGGCAGGAAGGTCTATTCCTCTGCGGGCCTCCAGTTGAGGATCTCGAACCAGCAGGCGATCCTGAACAGACACAATTTTAATTCCTGGACAGCAGTTTCCAAATTTAAAGACTCCTTGCTCCAGGGCTCTTAGCCTGAGTTTGCGTGGATGAAGGAAAGGCGGTAGCCAAGACTTCTCTGCAGGCCTCTCTCGACTCGGCGGATGCAGCAGCCAGAACAATCACCTCAGGCATGATGATGAGGCACTCAGCATGGCTGCAGGCTTCAGGCCTTCCGCCAGAGGTCCAGAATACCCTTCAGGACCTCCCCTTCAAAGGGTCTGGTCTCTTTTCGGACCAAACGGATGGCAGGCTGCATAGCCTCAAAGACTCCCGGGCAACCCTCAAGTCATTGGGAATGCACACCCCGGGGACGCAGAGGAAGCCCTTCAAGCCCCAGCCGCCTTAGCAAAGACAATACCAGCCCCGCCCTAGACAGGAGCCATATTGTAGGAGAGGCAGAGACAACAGGCGGAGGCAGAACAACATGCCTAACCAAGGCCAGGGCCAGGGAAAGCCGCAACCCAGCAACAAGCAAGGGTTTTGAAGATGCGCTCAAGGACAGTGTACCCAGTGAGTTACCGGATCTTTCCCTATGTTTCCTGAACCACTTGTCCCGCTTTTACCATGCGTGGTCCTGTATAACATCAGACCGTTGGGTCTTACGTACGGTACAAGTGGGATACATGCTTCAGTTCTCCCCCTTCCCCGTCCCTCTTCAGGGATCCCTCTCATGAGCCACTCCTTATGCAGGAGGTACAGACGCTCCTCGAGGCAGGGGCAGTAGAAGAGGTCCCTCGGGATCTAAGGGGGAAAAGGTTTTACTCCCGTTATTTTCTTATTCCCAAAGCAAAGGGGGGTCTTTGACCCACTTTAGACCTGCGCGGACTCAACAAATTCTTAGTCAAGGTCCGCTTCCGCATGGTCTCCCTAGGCACTATTATTCCGTCCCTGGATCCGGGGGATTGGTATGCTGCTCTCGACATAAAAGGTGCGTACTTTCACGTCGCTATTCATCCCACTCACCAGCGGTTCCTGCGGTTCACCATAACCCAGCACCATTACCAGTTTACCTTTCTGTCCTTCGGCCTGGCGGCAGCCCCCGACATGTTCACAAAATGCATATCAGTAGTGGCAGCCTTTCTACGAAAAAGGAGAATTGGAGTATACCCATACCTAGACGACTGGCTTCTCGCGGGTCGGTCCGAGGAGGAAGTCTGTTCCCATGTGGCGGGTGGCACTGGACGTATTCCGCAGGCTAGGCCTTCTAGTCAACATGCCCAAGTCCTCCTTGATACCTACGCAAATGCTGGAGTTCATTGGTGCAGTCCTGGATTCGTACAGGCACGAGCGAGCCTCCCAGAATACAGATTTCTGGCCATCCAGCGTGCCATAGACTCAATGCTGAGGTTCCCCACAACCACGCCGGATGCTGCCTGCAGCTCCTAGGACACATGGTGGCGTATACCCACATAGTCAAACACACTCGACTGCTGCTCAGGACTTTGCAATTGTGGCTAGCCTGGTCATATCTACTTTGTAGTGACAATCCCTGCCCAGGTGTTGGACTCCCTGCGTTGGTGGCTCAACCAGCAGGTAGTTTGCGAAGGGATCCCCTTCGCTGCACCGCAGCCCACACTGACACTGGTAACAGACACGTCAGACCTCAGCTGGGGAGCGCACTTGGGGGACCTACGGACGCAAGGCTTGTGGGCCAAGGACGAAATATTGCTCCACATCAATGTGAAGGAGCTCAGGGCGGTTCGCCTAGCCTGCCAAACCTTTCACGTTGCTTTAGAAGGTCACAGCATGACAGTTCTGACAGACAACACTACCGCCATGTTCTACATAAACAAGCAGGGTGGAGCCCGATCCTCTCCCCTTCTCCTATGGGACTTTTGTATAGCCCGCTCAGTATACCTCGTAGCGTCAGACCTCCTGGGGAAGCGGAATGAGCTGGTGGACCACCTCAGCAGGTCGTACCGCATGCACAAATGGTCGATGCGACCAGATGTTTTGCAGTCGATCTTCCAGAAGTGGGGATTTCCCCAAATGGACCTCTTTGCCACCAGGGACAACAGTCAATGCACACAGTTTTGCTCTTTCCAAAACCACAGTCCGGGCTCGGTCGCAGATGCCTTTGCGATCCCTTGGAGCAGGAGCCTGAAGGATGCCTTTCCACCGCTTCCACTCATCCACAGAGTTCTCCTCAAAGTTCGCAGAGACAAGGCAGTGATGATTCTCATCGCCCCAGCTTGGCCCCGCCAACATTGGTTTACGACTTTGCTGAAGCTGTCAATAGCTGACCCGATTGCCCTGCCCCTGCACCAAGATCTCATCACGCAGGACCGCGGGCGCCTGCCCCACCCGAACCTGCAGTCTCTGCATCTCATGGCATGGAAACTCTGTGGTTGAACGCAATGGAGAGCCAGTGCTCTCTTCAGGTGTGACAAATTCTCCTCGGCAGTAGGAAACCTTCCACTAGGACGACATACCTCCCTAAGTGGAAGAGGTTCTCCTGCTGGTGTGAACCAAAGCATATACAGCTGCTTCAGGCCTCCGTTCCAGTTATCCTGGAATACCTGCTGCACCTTAAACATCAAGGTCTCGCTCCCTCCTCAATTAGAGTGCATCTGGCTGCCATTTCGGCGTTCCACCCAGGGGAGTCGGGGCATTCTGTGTTTTCCAACCCCATGGTTGCCCGGTTACTCAAGGGGCTGGAGAGGGTGTTTCCCTGCTCACGCCCTCTGGTCCCTCCCTGGAACCTTAACCTGGTCCTGACCAAGCTCATGGGACCCCCTTTCGAGCCCCTAGCCTCTTGCTCTTTCACTCATCTCCTGGAAGGTGGCATTTTTGGTGGCCATTACGTCCGCAAGGAGGGTGTCCGAGTTGAGGGCCCTCACCTTGGAGCCCCCTTCTATAGTTTTTTATAAGGACAAAGTGCAACTTAGGCCACACTCTAAATTCCTCCCTAAAGTAGTCTCGCAATTTCATATGGGACAGGACATTTGTTTGCCAGTGTTCTTTCCCAAACCACACACAGACCCGAGTCACCGTAGCCTACATACTCTGGATGTCCATAGGGCCCTGGCATTCTATCTGGAGCGAACTAGACCTTTCCACAAGTCGACACAGTTGTTCGTTGCCATTGCGGAGAGAATGAAAGGACTCCCTGTCTCGGCGCAGCGGATATCGTCATGGATTGTAGATTGCATCCGCACATGCTATGAACTCACCAAGGTGCCGTCCCCGGCGATCACGGCTCACTCAACTAGGGCTCAAGCGTCCTCAGCAGCTTTCCTGGCACAGGTTCCACTCCAGGAGATCTGCAAAGCAGCCACCTGGTCGACAGTGCACACATTCACAGCCCACTACGCAGTCCATCAACAGGCCAGAGAGGAGTCGGCAGGGCTGTGCTTCAATCAATTGTTCCATGACTCCTACCTTCCTCCTATGGTAAGCTTGTGAGTCACCTAATGTGTAATGGACGTGAACAATCACTCGAAGAAGAAAAAATGGTTGCCTACCTTTTCGTAACTGTTCTTCAAGATGTGTTGTTCACGTCCATTACACTTCCCACCCTCCTTCCCCTCTGTCGGAGTCTCCGGCAAGAACGAACCGAAGGGGGGTTGGGTTGGCAGGGATATATATGCACCAGCATGAGGCGCCACTCTGGCGGGGCTCCCCTGCCGGCCCGACGAGAGCCGCTAAGGGGAAAAGTTTCCGACGTCCGTGCACGCGGCGCACGCACACCTAATGTGTAATGGACGTGAACAACACCTCTCGAAGAACAACAGTTACGAAAAGGTAGGTAACCGGTTTTCTTTTTTACTTACTTGAAATTATGGGATTTGTAAAATACCTTGATACTAACTTGTGTAGTTTGTTTATTTTTTTACAGATATCTTGGTATCATTTGATGAAATGCATCATATAAAGTCAATAATTATTATTGTCTTTGTCTTTAATGTAATAGATTTCTATCTATACTTTTCATATTTGGTTCTTTTCTCAGGTTCAGAACTTAACATTGCGCAGTCAGAAGTTGGGCGTATTGTGTAGTTCACAGAATGGCCCACCAAAGAGCAGTAGTCAAGCTCAGTCATTGGCTCTATGTACTAATAAAACCGTAACTGGTACCAAGGCCAGCCAACCGGATTCTCCAGACAGCAACAGAAAAGGAGAGAGCCCAACGTCTGAATGTCGAAGTACATCTGTCACACGGACATCAAGTATACATCAGTTAATAGCACCAGGTGCGATGAATCTTTAGCTTTAAAAAGGTTGTTAAAGTTTATCCTGTAATTTATAGCCCACAAACAAGTTTCTAATGCCTCAAATATTCATTGAATGTTTGAGGTCTTAAATCATTTGGAAATAAATAATTATTTTCAGTGGTGCTTAAAATATTTGTATCTTAGAATTCTCTATGCCTTCACAGAGAAGGGCAGGAGAGAGAGAGAAAAGAATTAAAAAAGGTGTGTGTGTGTGTGTGTGTGTGTGTGTCTGTGTGTTGTCCAGAGTGGTGGTAGTTACGATATTTCTGTTGCATTAGCACCCAAACGCCCAGTCATGATCAGGACACCGTTGTGCTCAACAGTGCATAAACTTCATAGGTAGACCTCTCCCTGCCTCAGAGAGTTTATAATCTAGTTTACAAGAAGTCAAGAAAATGAGTGTGACAAACAAAAGGAAAAAAAGTGGGGAGCTAGAGGATTAGATTAACCAAGCTAAAACTATGCATTTAGGTTGGCTATTGCATAATTTAATAATTCCTGCTGGTTCAAAGAGTAGAAATTTTGCCATGGTAAGTGGGCTGAGTAGGGCTGGTGAGCCAGATCTGCTTAATTTCAGGCTTCTCGAGAGAAAGAGAGCTGCAAGGCAGACAGCTCTTGAATTTTTGACCCCCATTGTTGTCAATCAGGAAAGTAATCCATCCCCTACTTTAAAAAAAAAAAGCTATCAAATGATGATTATTTTTCAAATGAAAGAGAAAACAGGTAGGGCTGGGAAGAGGGATGGAGAAAAGGAAGGGTATGCCCCAGAGGAAAATCTCAGGCATTTCAGTTTCCCATTATAGGCAGTTATGACAAGGAGTCACTGGCTCTTTTGGGAGAAAGGGGAGTACATCTCTGAAAATGAGACCACTTTTTAGGTTCCTAATTATTTATTAGTTGCATAACTTTAGGCACTTAGTTTTTACAGGTTTAATCTAAATGTTCTAATTAAAAACTTTCTGAGCCCATTATTTTTAAAAAAAATATTTTTAAATTTCACTGCCGACATAAAATTAGAAATTTTCATCCAGCCTTATTGACTCTAAAGTACTTACCTCTTTTATATTATAACTATTTTAAAGCAGGCAAATGCCGTTCTTTTCAAAGTTGAGGGTAGTATTTTTTTAACTAAAAGTCTTATTAACAAAAAGAACAGGAGTACTTGTGGCACCTTAGAGAGGTGCCACAAGTACTCCTGTTCTTTTTGTTGATACAGACTAACACGGCTGCTACTCTGAAACCAGTCTTATTAACAATAGTCTTAGAACTGGTGGCAGAAAGATAGATGTCTTTCTCTAGAAGCATTTGTGTATCTAAAACAAGCATGTTTTGTTTAATTGTTCAATGCTGTATTTCACTTTGGAATTTACCAAAATAAATGCATTCCATTCATGTGTTATATTTGAGACACTGTATATGGTTGAAGAGGGTATTTTCTAAGGCATTTCTAAGTTGTGCTCGTCTGAAAGGCTTGGTCAAGTTCTGTGCTGACTTTAGTCATCTGATGTGAAAATTTTCCTCATTTAAACATTTATTGTAATGTTCTTTGAACTTAAGTAAACAAATACTAATTGTCATTTTTCCCCCTCACAGCTTCATATTCTGCAATTCAACCTCATTCTCTAATAAAACATCAGCAGATACCTCTTCATTCACCACCTCCAAAGATTTCCCATCATCAGCTGATATTACAACAGCAGCAAGTTCAGCCAATCACACTTCAGACTCCTCTTAATCAGGAACCACCTCCATCACAACACTATGTTCCACTCCAAAGCCATGGTCTTCCTCCAGTTTCCAATAGTGTCCAGTCACAACATTGCTCACCTGTTCACATCCATCCTCCTCCTTTAACAATATCTCCTACTCCATCATCGTCAGCCCAGCAGTCAGTAGTGGTGTCTCCTACACCTGCTCACTCACCTAGTCAGTCTCCCTCCATAATAATTCATCCACAAGCACTTATTCAGTCGCAACCACATCCTCTTATGCCATCAGCTCTACAGTCGGAGCAGAACCCACAGCAGCCCACTACTAGTCAAGTACGACCAGTAGCACAACAGCTTAATCTTCCATCCCATCTTACAGTTCCACCTTCCCCAGTAGTACACATTGGACCAGTAGATCAGCCGAACTTGATGTCCCCGGGCCAGCAGACAGTGTCTCCAACACCACACCAGCAATATCCAACCTTACAGTCCATGCCACTCCCAATTGCAACCCCTCCACAGCTGTCGACATCTCCAACCCAGATTCAACAACTGCCCTTGCAGTCTGTGCAATCTTTACAAATGCAGCCTGAAATTCTATCCCAGGGCCAGGTTTTGGTGCAAAATACTTTGGTTTCTGAGGAGCAGCTTCCTGCTGCAGAAGCTTTGGTCCAGCTGCCATTTCAGACTCTTCCGCCACCACAGACTGTTGCAGTAAACCTTCAAGTACAACCATCGGTACCTGTTGAAACCCCTGTGGTAAGCCCTCAGAAATTTTCTTTTTGGTTTTGATATTTAACTAAAAGTGAAAAACCCTTTCTCCAACAACATTCTATTACGACCGTAGATGACACAAATCTCTTGTGTGTGTAAGGAAAGAAGAATCTGTTCTCAAAATCATTTACAGGTTTGGTAAAACTGGCATTGCTGCATGGCGTCTGAACAAAGTGATGTGTTGAAAAGCTGGCTCCCAGTCTGACACTCATTTTATTGCTGGATAAGCAAGTAATATTACTATCTTTGCAGAACTGACTTTTCCATTTTGAAACTGTATCCTTTGAAGAAAATGTTTTGTTGTTCTTCAAAACCAAGTGAAAATTGAGTGAAAGTCCAGGAATACGAGCCAAATGCCATACAGCCTTTTGGGACATATTCTCCATCCTACCCCAAATTCCACTTGAGTGCATTTGAAGGAGGTGGAGGGACACCGAGAACTGCACAGGACCAGCTGTAACTTACACCACTGACATAGTATCAGGGGGTAGCCGTGTTTAGTCTGTATCTACAAAAACAACAAGGAGTCTGGTGGCACCTTAAAGACAGATTTATTTGGGCGTAAGCTTTCGTGGGTAAAAACCTCATTTCTTCAGATGCATAGAGTGAAAGTTACAGATGCGTGTATTATATACTGACACATGGAGAGCAGGGAGTTACTTCGCAAGTGGAGAACCAGTGTTGACAGGGCCAAGTCCCTCAGGGAATCAGTAGCTCCACCATACCCGTAGAATGTCATTAACATAATCCCTTCTTCCCCTTATGCGAGGGTGAGGAACAGTTGGTGCAAGAGCTGCCTCCACCAGGTTTATGCCAGTGGAAAGTTCCCCTCTGGACTATGAAATCTTGGCCCTCTATATTAAATACAGTGCAATTTTAAATATTCAAATAGATTTGTCTAATCAAGGCTTTGGGAATTTTCAGGGAACATAAGAGGAAGTTATGGGTAACTGAATTTTGGATAGTATCAGGGGGTAGCCGTGTTAGTCTGTATCTACAAAAACAACAAGGAGTCTGGTGGCACCTTAAAGACTAAT